AAAATAAAATAAAAATAAAAATAAATTCCAAAAAACTGTGATGTCATTTGACCCCACGTGGGTCCGCCTCTGATTTCAGCTACTATGTGCATCTTGATTTGATAAATATGCTCCTCTCCTCCATATTTGTTGTTCAATCTGGGTTAAAAAAAATTTATAATATCATATATTTGTTGTTCAACAAATTATATGTAAATCGCTTCATACATTTTGCTTAATATTCTAATTATCAGTATTACCTCGAGTCCATTTATGTACTTATTATAATGTATGTGATGGGTTCATGAATGAACACTTACTGTATTTGTGTGATATGTCTTATATTTCGGAGTCATGTGTATCATAGCTGTTAAGGAAGACAATTATAATTGAGATGATGATTATATGGGTGATATTCTTACAGAGTCCTATATTAATTTTTTTTAATTGTGTGAGCAAGCTAGATCCATTTCTTGACAAGTAATAACCCGCTTGTGTAATGGCTGCTATTTGTTTAGCCTATTCTTGAAATGTCATTTCACATTGGCAAGTAAATTTCGTCCTGCAGGTTGTTAAGGAAAACCAGATACTTCACAAGGGTTCCAAAGTAATAGATGGGGAAACAGATTGTCTAGCTGACAGGAATATTTTTCCTGGAGATGTCTTGTGGGTTACTGATTCAAAGATTCATGAGAATCGTGATATAGCCGGTAGGACATTGTTGCACTCAAAATCATAATATTTAATCAGCATAAGTGCTGTTTGATTGAATTAAGAGTTTATGATGACAATTTTCGGATACCCTTTATCCTGACTGCACAACAATGCTGTTGACTCTTTGAACAAGTTGCAATTTTATCAGCATGCCATTATTTTGCATTAGAAATTCTATTTCTTTGTAATTCTAGAGTTGGTGATTTTTCCTTGCTTGGATTGGGTGATATAGTTTTGCGAGTTTAATGATTTGTTCCCAGTTGGATGATTGAGTATATTAAGTCTTTATTGATATTCAGTTGTAATGTGACTTGTGTTATCCAATTTCAATTGAATATCTGCAAGAAAACAAGCAAAATTCAGACTTTTTTTAATCTGTATCTCAAAAGCCTTTATAGCATAAAAGTTCAGTGCATTCTTTGGATCATATATATTATAACATTGATATAGAAATTTTCAAGAAGATTTCTGATTGTTGAACTTAATTTGCGCTTTTTACAACATCAAATTGCAAGGAAGAGAATTGTTCATTTATCTAACTTTTGGATATGTAATATAAAGAATATTCTGGTGCCATGAAAAGTATGTTGTCCCATTTAACATAAAAATTCGGCTCGATGCATATAACATTAAGTGGTGTGAGTTGTAGGTTCCCCCCCTTTTCTTCTTTGGTTATCTTCTTATGTTTTTTCCTTTGGTTTAATTATTTTACTTTTAATCGGAAGATGAACTTAACAAGTAGCAGCAGTTTACCGAGAAAGCTTTTTTCTTGGACATCAAATAATTCTTGATGTTAAATTCCCTCTTTGCTTTCCAGTGTGTCGCCATTATTGGTTTCATGTTTCCCAATCTTGGAAGAAAGTTTATATCTGTTGACCTATTTTGCACATGGAATTCTTTTTATGACCTGTCTATCATACTTCCCTATAGATGAGCTCTCTAACTCAAATATGGAGGTGCAAAAGGCCGAGGAGGGCTTTCGTGGGACTCTCCTCACATCAAGCATTTCGTCTCAGGCCATCTCGGAAGCATGCTTAAATTAACAAAGTTATGACCATGAAGTTGGTTCCTTCAATTTTGGATGCTAGAAGTGAGAAGTAAATAATCTTCTACCAGCATTTTCAAGGTGCCTTCCCTTCACTAGCAGTTTTTTTCCTGAAAAATTCTATTTCTTCTGGTGTTGTGTGGATTGCAGGTCTATACTGTTCTTAGTTTTAATAGGACTTGCTACTGTCCTACTATTATCTTAAAAGAGTCAAGTTATTAGTGATTAGTTAAAGCATTNACTGTTCTTAGTTTTAATAGGACTTGCTACTGTCCTACTATTATCTTAAAAGAGTCAAGTTATTAGTGATTAGTTAAAGCATTGAGTGTTGGTTTCTGGTAACTATATTGAAGCACATAATTAGTTGAAATAGAAATATCACGAGTTGATCCTTGCATTAATATCATATTGAATTCATTCAATTTGCTTTTATAGAGATGGTGTGATTTGATTTTTATGCACTTTAATGTTATTCAGTTCTTCCTGTCTTAGCAAAGGCACGTGTTTCATGAAGCTGTTAGAAATAAATCTATATGTTACTTTTTTTCAATTAATTTCTCTTTTTACATTTTTAGTAAGAATGGGCAATTATATTTTGCCTAATTATGCATTGATAGTGAATAAGAGAGGTATCTAAGCTATATAATTTCTCAATTCTAGTACAAGATGCTTATAAAATCGAACAAATTATTCAATATAATAGAAGTCGTTGAAAGTCTTTTTCTTAGGCAAAACAATATATGTGCATCTCAAAAATTTACCTAGGGAATAAAGATATGCAATTTAAAAGACCGTTCAGTTCCATGTCAGGTTCCAGAATGAATGAAAAAAGAGTCATTTTAGTGACTTCTATTTTTTGAACCATGCCTGCATGTTTGCAAGCCTTAACTCTTTTACCTGCGCATGGATGCATACAAGGGATAACAGAATGTATTGGTACAAGTTATATTTTAGGATCCCTTGAAAAAGTTCATGTTTTAGGACCATTTATTATGAAGCGAACTACTGGGGAAAATGGGATGCCACACTTTCCAAAAGGAATCATAGTGTAGTACTACCATAAGGCTGTAATATAGACATTTGGCTGGCTTCATTAACTTATAACTTCCTTCCTATCTTTAACCTTATCAAATTTCAAGCCAATAGGAAGAGTTTCCTTATTTAAATCTATTTAGTAATATGAAAATCATGCTCATGTTTTCGTATTTTTAAGTTTCCATCTTAAGGACGGGATATTTTTTGCTCTGCTATTGATCCTTCTGTATAAGCGAGGATGCCATATTATATATTGTCAATCTGTTAACCTTTTGCCGTCTTGAAATTAAAGTGGCTTTCTGGCCTTTTTGTCTGTTTTGCTCATTCCAGTAATTGCTTATCGTTTTCTTATCTGAATTACATAGCAATTTTTCTCAACAATACCTTTGCCGAGTTTCACAGATTTCCCTTTTTTAACATTTCTTTTGCTGCCATGTTGACAGGAACGATCTTGGTCGTCAGATAGCTGGTGCTTCTCCTTACATAGACCTTCTATGTACAAATTGTTTTCAGAATTTCTTTGTTATGCAGGACATAATCACATCCTATATATCACATGTAGCTGCAGTTTTCCTTGTCTGATAGTGTGATTTTTGTGTTCGATCTTTCTACATGGCTCAATGCTCCATTTCTAAGAGTGTTCTTCCTTCTTCAAAGCCTTGGCTGCTTTTTGTAGTGCTTTAAGGGCTCGGTTTTACTTGGTCCCATTTATGGGGACAATTTTGTACATTGCTCATATTTTCTGGAAAGCTGATGATCAATGGGCAGTTGATTGTATATTATGACTAACTGGTGGTTTGAATTCATCAGGCGTTATTGCATATTATAATATCACATCATGTTGCTTTGGGTCATTTTGCAATGTTTTTTACGACTCTCTTAAACTTTTCCAGCATTTGAGACACACTTCAGGGACATGTTCATTTTTGTTGCGTCCGTTAAGTTGGATTGGACAATATCAAGGCTCGATTTGATATGG